AATACGCATATTCTCACGTTTGTTGATAATGAATTCCAGCTTGGAAACTGTTTAAAAAACTATCCGCGTGACGTGAGTTCTGATCAGCGTGTTTCAACCTAACGGGGTGATTATAGTCGTGTCGCCCAAAGTTATAAATCTACGCAAACCAAAGCACTTAGGCCTTCTGGTGCTCCCATTTGTTGCGGGATCATTGCTCAGCCCACTGAGTGCAAAACAAGACAAAAATTCTACAACATTAACGAACGAAAAGACTCCAGTGAGTGTTTTCGGCCAGCGACACACAGTTCTCATCTGTCGCATCAAAATGTAACTGCAGTACACCCTTCAGAGGAAATTTGAACGCAGTCTACTGTCGGTAAACACCTTCTGTTTCCGTGTCACCGGATATAATTCAGGGCAGGTTTGAAACTTACATAACTTTCACCTAATGTCCTATTCCTTCGGTACCCCGAAACTGTCGCAGTTAACCGAATGAAACCAGGTCCGTGGGTTCAAAAGCAACTATTCATCAGCCTTATGTGGCCATGGGCACAGCCACTTAACTTCCGTTACTAAATTCGCACCTCAGGCCTAGTTGGCCTTACCCACAGTTAAGTACATACTTGCTGGTTATTGTTAATGGTGCGGAGAAGACAATAAAAAGTGCATACATCTCCCGGCCTTAGTTTTTTTACTGCGCTTTTCAAATTGTCCGCATCCTGAACATCAGTTGCAAACTTGGCTATTCTGAGAGTTGATGGCATCGCACGGTGATACCATATTCAACCATTCGACAACCGTGGGGCGCGAAATTTTTTCTGCACCCGTGCATATGCCTGCAGGCAGCTGAATTAGCGCCTCACCCCCAAGCATGCTATACACATCAGTCACCGTCCCATCTGTTCGTATGTCATGAGCGGAAGCGAATATGCTGGTGCTGTCCGACGTACCAATGCCACGCCCTAATTGGGTGGTCTGTGAATGGAACTTGCTCGCGGGAGAGAGGTTACGCCACGCGAACCGATGTAGCAAGGGGGTGTACAGTGATGTGTCTGTCTCTGCACGTCATGTTTGGGTAATCACTTGCATAAATAGTCTTGACTTCATGGGTGGAAAGAATTTGACCGACGCGGAAAACAGGCTACTGCGGTGAGTTCTTGAACCGATTTTAATTAGTGTATAGAAGTTACTTCGGTAAAGAACCATCGGTCAAAACACCGTAAATGATTAGGAATATGCGGGGCAATTATTCGTGACACGTTTATCGGTATTCCGTTTCGTGGTGTCTTCAGGTTACTGTCTATCGCTGTACACAGTAATAAGGGAATTGTTATTGAAACTAAGTTTTTTGTGGAAACACAAATGGTGAATAGTTCCATAATTGCTCATGATGCACATTTACACAAATTAATACAAGCAACTACTTAAGTTCCATTACAAGAGGGAAGGAAAAAGACCGGATGTCAATCAGGTGTTAGCCACCATTTATTCAAAGTACGCACGCGGCCATTGGCAGTGAGATTCAGTGAGATAAGCATAGAAAATATAGACGATAAGCATTGAACAGCAGCGTTTCAGATGTACGCAGGACGGTAGCTGGGTTGTACTTAAATCGTTTAAACGATCAGTTGATGCATCTACCATAGTCACGAAAACCGAGAACACCAAAACCACCAACAGCGAATACCAGACTCCCAGATCCAGAAATTGTAGTAGGGCTTTTGGACCAGTAGTCAACACATTTAAACTGACATCAAACGCAGCCAAACTCGGTATAGCCAGCGGGGACCAATGTCAAGCCCGTAATGATGCAGGATGTCTGGTGCATCTGTGGTCTATCTGTATGTGTCTCTGAGATGGAAACGGAACCGAAGCCGGAAGCAGTATCACCAGGCAGAGATGATGTTCACTCATAAATAAATCGTACATGCAAGGACTTGGTGACCACTTTGATGACGTACGGGATCGGTGTTACCAATTTAATGACAACTGCACACACCTTGGCTTCGTTTAGATAACCATAACGGGCTAGCGTCCGTCCACACCTGTCTCTTGTGTCTGGAGTCATGATTTGTTATGCGCTAACCATTTATATCGAAGGCTGTTGCTATCAGTAGACGCATCGTACGAGGCCCGTTCACCAACTACAGTTCACACCGACCCCATCCATCTCCACAAAACTATATTCGCACTTTCTTACCTGCTTAGACCATCCCACGTGCTGACTAGGAGTAATGGAAACCATTACGCTTGCATTTTTGCACCTTAGATCAGTAGTAACTTTTCAGCATTCATTCTTGCACAGTGGGTTTTGCAATCCCCATCCGGGGGTTGTTCACCAACTAATTCAGATTCCGCGATATGGGTAATTCACTGTTGCTGCACATCCGCCCCTACAAACGACTGTGTCGATCATTTCCACCGGCACACGAGAAACCCCACAACGCTGAGAACAAACACTACGTTTTGCGTACTTCCACACCATGTTAACAAGCCCCTTTGTAGTGTGTTTCCAGGCTCGGTTCTCTCTATGCTTATCAAAATGTCGCATTTTGCTCAGTTTTGTTTACCGGCTAGCAGTGACCCATCAAGCAACTACAACGGTGGTAGGAGTATTCCTTGTGTCTTTGATTGTTCCCCTAATTAAGAGAAACATTAACTGAGGCATATGTGGTGGTCAATCTGTGACTATTATGTAAAGTGTTGCTCGTATAGCCTAATAGTCTAGTGATCAAGGTGTAAGCCATCAAGCAATATGGGAGGGTTCCACTCAGCTCGGGCCATATACACATGAAGTGTCCAAATCAGGATTAAACCGGTGGAGAGTTAAGGGTTTGGAGAGATCAGCACCGAAGCTCTTCACATGGGATACTGTCCGAGTGATCGAAGTGGCATAGGCTTACTTCGATGTAAACCTTAGCTCCCATTGAAACTGTGCGTCGCACATAATAGGTCACATAGAACCCAAAAATTCATGTGGTGACGTTGTTTCCACTGTTGTGTTCCAGTCAGTCGTGGTTTTCAGGAAAATCTTGCACCTGTTTCTGCATACTTGGACCAAATCGTTTGGTAAGCAAATTACGTGTGAACGGCTGAGGCATGTACTCCAACCGATTTGTCTGCACTTAGTAGCCTAATCTTTCATTAGCACAACAACAGTACACTGCCAAACAACTCAGCAATCATGATCATCCGAAAGTATGCATGCTTCGTGATGACCCCCGGTTACTGAACCAGGATGACTGGGATAAACTTGAGAGTTAAGTGGGATTAAATGGTGGGATTAAACTGTAGATAGGTGTTGTAGTTTAAGCGTGGGTACACACATGCCATTCCTGTCAACGCAGATAAATGAATCCCGACTGCTTGTTGCGAGCAACGATCCTACTTCTCACGTGATCACAGTTGCTACGATTTAATCTCTCTACACTCCATCATGAATGTTTGAGGCTGTGGAGATCAAACAAAACAGTGCCTTGTGCAGCCAAGGGCTTGATGGATTTCGACCATCAAAACCTATAGACTAACTTGTCAATATACGTGACCTAAGCATTGTCGACTCACAATTCCCACACCATGGTGAATAAAAGATAAACAAACGAAGCAAGCTTCTCGTCCCAGATAACATTTGATGGGACTTAATTTTGCCATGACGGGATGTGTTTTGTTTGATGTCTCTGCACTGCATTCCTGTTCGCCAAACCTAATCACCTTCTCCGACACCTCCTCAAAGATGATATGGTACACTCACGATCCATTTCCGTATCCTCCTGATTAAGCAAAATACGATGGTCAGTCTCTAGAGTCTGCTTCCTCCAATATTGTTATTTGTGCGGAAATTATGCAAGATGCTTTTTATGCACCCAATTGTTTAGGGGTCTATCGTTAAATGGTGTCCGGTTCACTGAGTATCACAATAGTATGCATAATAATACAAAATAAAAGAGCCGTACCAGCTGGCTATGCCGGTTATCTGAGTCCAGACCGCAGGGAAAATTAAAACTAAAGAGTCTCTTAAACCACTGGTATGCAGTTAGTATTCCAAAGGGTGGATGAATGATACCTACCTAAATTCTAATACGATGGGCTGCAATTCCCTTTCCCCTACGTTGGCCTTTATTCTTTCATCATAAATGCGTTTCTACCGTCTGCTCTTGATTAGTGTGCGTTTTAACTATCAGTCCACTCTCAAATGCACTGATGCGCTTTAAGCGATTACATTTTTTGATGTATACTTTGCTTGGTTGCATATAAGGCGTAAATAGTGCGATCCAAATAATGTTCATAGTGCCTCTCGTATTGTGTACCCGTGTCTTTGGTCCCATGAGCGACCAATCAGATCGTTTTCAGTTGGAATTGCGTGCACGCATACAGCGCTAGCATGCAGTCAGGTGCAGTTAGTTATTCCTTTCATTTGTCTTTCTTTGCTAGGTCTCACAAACGGACCATGATTCATAAATTTTCGTCCGTTGAAAGGTGCACTCATACTAACTGCGCCAACCTAGCTCTCTTTTGAACTTCTCTATAGGCGCTAATAATCCAGTTTGTGTCGACAGATAGTGTGTGCACCAAGTACTTACCCTCTCATCTTTACCACAAACACAGGGGCATAAACCTCATTGTACGGGCGCCGATGCTCACTGTGTACAAGGAGATCGTTTTGTCGCAGTGGTGTCCTACAAGACGCGGTCTGTCTCACACATGACGCTCATTTCCGCATGATGTATCACAAATGAATGAATGCTATCTTGCTGGGTACTGTCACGTTGACCCACGCACTAAATGGTGCGGGGTTTCATTGATGAACTACGAGGCCGGATCTGTAACAATCATGACCCCTACTAGCATTTGCTGTGAACACATGGTATGTAGTTGTTCAGTACAGCTTATCCGCGACTTCTCAATGGGCGCATGCGTGTGCTGATTGTTCGTAAGCATAATGCCGGACAAATCCGAAGTTCACATGTCCAAATCTAGTGAAATAACATTCTGTCTATTCCGTTCAAGTTACAGGTCTTATGGACGTCACAACACCACAGCACCAAGCCTTATTTTCCTTCTCCAAGGACCAAGTCGAAGAGGAGGATGCCGACTCGCTGGGGCAATCTTCACTACCTGTGGGGGTGAATGAAAGCTTATTTAATCTTATGGATTCCTTAACTCAGGCACAAGGTTCGTTTCTACCGAAGTCCGTGTACTCGCTGCATAACATACTCGAATCTTCCTGCATCCGTGGCTCATCTCTGTTTTATCCAGGCTGCTCTATGAGTCCGTTGAAACTGTCCGTATACCAAGTAGCGGAAGTCGCAAGGCGCATATCCCAGCTTTACAAACAAGTAGTAGAAATCAAGTTGGATGACCCTGATTCTGAGATTCAGACACTAGAAAGCGGGTGCGCGAAAGATGATACCACGTCCTCCAGCCCAGTGAGTGATGCGACACAACTCAACCGATTAGAAACGATTGGCATCTCAAGGATTGCTAGGCCGAAATCGGACCTCGGCAATATCACGTCATCTAGCGTTGCACCAACTGGATTATGTAAACTCACTCCTCCCGCTTGTCAGTCAAGCATGGTGTCTGGTGAAGTCTCCAAACCGGCTCCCAACATGGCCGATACGTTCAGAACTCCATGTTCAGCTTCCCTTGCAGCAACCAAGGCCAACGCAACTGGACAGCTCAATTCAGCTGTGAGTCACTTACAGTTGGGCATAACTGGGAACCAGACATCCAACTGGCCAAAGCTGGGAGTTCCACTACCTGCAGCACCAACTCGAGTTACGGCCCCGGTACACGTGGATGTTGGAGGTGTCCTGTACACTTCTTCTTTGCAAACATTAACGAAGTAAGTCATGTGATAACGATAAAGTTTTTGCACCGTCGTCAGACATATGTGTACTCGTAGATGCTCGTTCATCTTTTGGTTTGCTTTATACTGACCTTAATATTACATAAAATAAATGGGTAAGAACCCCAAATCAAGCGGTGCCAGGGCTATACTAGACTTGCAGATTCTTAAAGCTCTGTCAGAACTGTTACGCAGTAAGTGAATTGCAGTCATTTGGACACATTGGACTTAAGCTGGTGCACATGCACCCATACAATGCTCCGTTTTATTGCGACTATCCAGCGAGGCGGTAGCTTACCTCGGGCTATACCTAATCAAATGTCCGCCTTGGGCAATAAGATGCAAGAAGGAGTGTTTCCCCACCCTATCGCGCGATCCAGACTTGAGGCATGCCGCTGTCCTCTACTTTACACTAACAAAGGGCTCACCTGCTTGCAGCCCCAGGCGCGCAGTTTTCCTTGGGCAATTTGAACCAACATATCTGGAAAAATGGGGGTGTCGCGCCTTCAGGCTATACGACCGCTGAGGAGTGGAAGCGTTTAGGCCCAGTGAGGGAAGGTAGCCACAAGTGGGGTGAGAAACAATGTCACCCATCTGAGGTTTCTTTGCCCCTACCACCCTGTGGTCTTCACCAGCCCATTTAATTGTCCAACCTTGCTGAGTTCCCGCAGGGCGTTGGAAATGCGGTTGGTAGCGGGCAGGTGGTCGTGGGTTATGCCCTCAAGGTCTGGTTCGAGCTGTGAACCAACCACATAACCGATTGACGAATGATAGCAAGCGGCATAACATGCATCAGTGCTATGCAACTAGATGAGAGTGGTCATGAGGCAAAGTTGACCCAAACTGGTCGTCCTAGTTACATCCCAGGATTCGGAAGGTGAGGCTGTATTGACGATTCTAAACCACGGCTTAGGTTTTGTGATAAGTTTATTTCCCAAATGTAGGGCATAAAGCCAAAGAAAATCGTCACCGACTTCATGGATTGCCCCATCATTTAGCTTGGGCCCACTTCCCGTTTGTGCGAGCGGCATTTTAGAAATTATATGCTAATCGTTGACTCAGCCTGATGGTGTATATGGTCCGCAAACATGTACTTCGCTTTTCTAGACTTAAGTTCAGGCAGTCTGCAATCCATGAGGCTGCCTGAGTCTCATTGGCGACATAAACTATGGAAGACCCATGGTTAATTGTTTCAGTAATGATTGCTCCTAACCTTGTATTCGATAGCCAGTTACATCCTCATTCGGACCCTTCAGACAGACGCTGCGATGGTTTCCAGTGGACACCTTGCCGCTAACGCGCCATACTTCAGTAGCAACGATTTTCATGGTTAGGAATTCACATTTTACATTCTGGAGTTTCCGACGTGTGTTTAAATGCAGTTCCCTGAGCTAGATAAACCCGATATTAGTAAACTTTCCAACTCTTTTTGTCAGATATCCGGACTCTCGATTAGGTCGCATGTTCAGCGGTGTTACTCCGATCATACTGGATACAATGAAGCAGCACTATTTCATCGATCGTGATGGCACCTTATTTCGACATGTGCTGAACTTCTTGCGTACTGGGCAAGTGAACATTGGAGCGCAGTTTGACGAGTTCGATCAACTAGTACAAGAGGTCAGACATTATGAATTAGGAGAAATGTTGGAGGCTTTGGATCGCCTTGCTTCCGAACGCCGCTCAGATGGGCGCAAACGGGTGATACGGAACAAACTACAATCCCGCTTGAGCCTTAACAAGAAACGAAGAATACAACATTGCCAAGTGGCTGAGGAATTTATGACCAAGGAAAACGATGGTGCGCGGACCTGTGCGTTACGTTTCGCTGATAGTGAGATGCTGGAATTCCGAATAGCTTCATCAAATTACGAATGCATGTGGGTAGAAATGAACGTCAGCTCACCGTTTTCTGGCATCATACAACTAGCCGGCATGACATCCGTCCAAGGTGAACAATGGGCCAGACGCATTGGACGATTCGTTGGTGAAAAGTGTCAGTGCTCGGACAATGATTCACGTGAACACATGAGCCTGGAGGGTTCTACACAAGTGAGGTGGCACGATATGGCTCGTGCGGACCAGCTTACGCTCTGGCAATTTATCTTGGCTGACGGTTTCGAAATTCTTGCGCAGCACTCCCCATTGTTAACCAAATCAGGCTGTTATACTTACCTACTTGGTCGTAAGTCCCGGTGAGCCATTCTCGGAGCCAAAAGATGATCTGACCCTTGTGCTTGGCCTCCATGCCTGTAATGTCCAGGTATGATTCGGAGCCGTTACCTCCACGCTGCCTAATTGAGCTGATCAGTCGTATTGAAACATGGTTAATTTACTCTGCAGATCACACGTTTATGCTTCTATACATACCATTTATGTCTTTAAGATGCGTTGTTTTCGAAGGGGGCTCGAATCCAAAAAGTATTTAATACAATATTTCGTACCATAAGGACCTTTATAGCAATACTGCAACATGCTGGAGTACAAGAATCAAGTCTAGTTGTGGCATTTAATACCCAGCGGATACAGAATCTACCAGGTACGATTAACACTAGGAATGAGTTGGCCGATGTTTTTTCATCAACAAACACTGGGCCGGTGGTGTCGGCAGTGAAACACTTTAAGTGATGACACTAAACAGACCTTCGCCTACTGTCGCAATTATATTTGTGTTTCACATTGCGTTGTACCGGCGGATGCTTCATTTGAGTTAATATCATCAATCAAAAATAGTTCTTACAATCACACCACAAGGCTTAGCAACATAAATAGTGCAACCAGTCACCGGATAAATATCTGTTTGTAATCATTGTTAAAGCATGTTAGCGGTGCGTCAAGTGTTCAAGGTAAGTAATGGTAAACCATTTAGCAATTATCAATATATCTGTAAGCTTAGAAGAGTACGATGCTGTTGTTATTCCCAACCTCGTTTAACGCCTCGAATATTACGGTCCCTATGTTGCAGTAACGATGCACACGGTACGGTTGCAGAACGGAGACTACACACAGCATCAAGTAGTAGGCAGTGCTTTATTCAAAGAATTGAAATCGGCATATGTTGAAGATTCCTCACGGATCGCCAAGGTGTGCAATAAAATTGTAATTTGGGTTAGAGTTGGACCCAGCGATCTTACGCAAAACAGGAAACCCCTAGGCTGTTACAATATGGAGCTTCACAGATTTCCTCCGGAGCTGGTTCAATCGTGGCAATACGGTACATCCACCTGCAATTGCCTTGACCAACTAAGACTAATTATTTCGACATTATCCGGGTTAATATTTTGTATTGTACCTTGCAAGTGTGTTGCTATGGCCGTATCTCTTAGCAGAACCCTTTGGTCAAACCTGTCCTTCAGTGACCGTGGCGTGCACCGCTTGTGTTCTGCTAACCATGTGTGCAGCTCTTTCGCGGTTTGAATGGCGTACCTTCGCGCACAGTTTCTGTGACTTATTCTGAGCACACCGTTTGTCATCTTACCTACAGAGAGTGAGTCCTTCTGATGCACCCGCATCGAACGAATTATATTACTATGGGAAAATCACTTTTATATTTTACCTGTTTGGTACTCTACGAAATGCATCCGAAATTCTCTCTACATATGCAGCTTTTTCCAGTCCAAATCCAATTCGTATTAGTTCGTGGATGTGAATGTAGATTTTACCGCAACTGATGTCTCATGAACCGTATCGGGAGTCCACTATCTAGCAACTGGATGTTTTCCTACTCCCAAACTGCCGTGCCCCATCACGTTATGTATGCGCTGCTCCATGAAACAGAAATAAGGCGATCCCAACAACACGCCTTGGATGACATGAACTGTAATGGAGTATCCCACTTGTGTCTGTCGCCTTATGAAATATCATAGTTTCTAAGCTATCTTCATCCTTGTGAACAGTGCACTCGAGGAATAGAACTACTCCACTTCCGGGTTCCAAGTTCATGACAAAGGTTATAGGCACATTAAAAGCTTTATTGAGACTTCATCACAGTAGATTGCAAATCAGGTTGTCCTCTACATGCCCAGAGAAGCACTAGACTGCATTTTCGACCTGTTGAGCTGCGCAAATATTGCGCCTCCATTGAGTCCGTCAGGTTTCTTAGCTATGATCACTAACGGCTTGAATTACAACTAAGAGATCTCAATTGCGATCTCAGTAAACGCACTGGTGACCATGACACAACTACATGAAAACTACACAGGAGCAATTTCAACCGTACAAAGGCACGATAAAGGCGTTAAGCCATCTCTGGCACCCTCTCACGCAAGCCAAGCATTAGTACATCACGAAGTCAGGGTCAGTTTGCCAAGATGTATCACGCGCACTCACCATCTGAACCGAACAAAATCACCTTCACCAGGGGCAGACCTCGTAACATTACGCTCAGTGAGCATAAAACACCGCCAACGTACCATGGTCCACATGTTTTGACCGCCCCTTTGGCGTCGAATTTGAACAAACAATGAACAATGGACAATGATATATTACAGGTGAAAAAGCGATTGCTTTACAAGTCCCGTAGGATGGTTGAAGTGAAAGTAAACACAAGTGTAAATCGTCAATTTAAGCGTCTAGCGATTCAGGTGCCCCTTATTCATATAAACGTTGTAGAATGTGTACTGATTTGTTACTGTAGAGTAGTATGGGAAGTAATATAGGAAAGGTATGTCTTATGAACAAAAGAAACGACAACGCTTACTCGTGCGCTGCTTTCTTCGACTGAGGTAATTGATGAATGCAGTTGTAATATATCCGAAACCATATTCCACAACAGCAGTGTGTAAGTAGTGAAGCACATAAGCTGAGAATGAGCCCCGTTTGTTCGCGTTTGTTTGAAGTAGACATCGCTGATTATATAGCGGAATGTACGTGGATAAGCGAATCATACAGACGTCTTTTGAATACCGTTAGCGTGGGGGAAGAAACAACGTATGTGGGAAGAGCGTTCCAGTGCTAACACACACGAAAGGAAAAGAAATTCCGACGGCATTCCAACTGGCTGTGTTGTGTACCCAGCCTTAGATGGTGTCCTCTGAGCGTGCTATTGCTATTCAGCTTTAGTAGATGACGACAAGAATGGTTTGGATTCCTCAGGATCATATAAATCATTATCAAGTCGCCACGGATGCGTCGAAATTGTCCACTGTAGACCCCGAGGGTTTACAGCCTCAATCGGTAAGGGAGATGAAACAGGCCCTTTACGTTCTTAGTCGCCCTTCGTTGTGGAAGTTTAAGAGCGGTAAGGTCTTGGTTATGCCATGACTGCCAGGCGTGGATGGCGTACTCAGAATGAGGCCGAATGTAGGCGTTGAGCATCTGAGAAAAGATGGAAGGATCGAAGCACCCGAACGCCCTCCGCAAAAGGCCAAGGTGTTGGTTAGCTTTTTGGAGGCTTTCTCGGCCTGACGGGAACAGCCCAGATCTTCCTGGACTATCACGCCTAGATCACATTTCGTTGAAGTGCGCTGCAATATTTGATCCCCCAGTCTGTAGTCGCAAGTAGTTTTATAGCGTATGCTTAACACCTTGCATTTCGTAGCGTTGAACTGAAGCAGGTTCTGAGTCGATCATACGTAGACTGTGTCAAGGTCATCCTGAAGTGCTGCATTGTCGCTGGTTGTTCTAATGGCTCGCCATATCTTAAGATCATCAGCGAAGAGCAGGGAGTTGGAGGTGATTACTGTCACGAGATCGTGTATGTAAATCAGGAATAGTCGTGGACCAAGTACTGAGCCCTGGGGCACTCCACACTTAACGTCGATTGGGTCAGAGATAATGCCGCGAACTCTTACATTCACATGTCGTTGAAGTAAGAAGTTACCTATCCATCCGAGGATTGGGTCACCAATTCCACAACACTGCAGCTTGTGAAGGAGGATAAGGTGGTTCAGACGGTCGAAAGCCTTTAAGAAGTCCAGATATACTGCGTCAACACCTAGACCGTTGTCAACGGTCTCAGTCCAACTGGATCTAGCAAGTAGCAAGTTTGAAGTGCAAGATCTGTTCTTGCGAAATCCATGATGTTCTTGGGCTATGATATTGCGTTCCTCCAAGAAGTTCATCAGTGCTCCGGCAACAATCGCTTCCATGATTTTGGAGAGCACCGGAAGTAATGTTCTCGGGCGGTAGTTGGCCGGATCTGTACGACTTCCTCCCTTATGGATGGGAGTGACGATGCCCTGCTTCCACATTGTTGGCACCCGCATCTCATCGAGGCATCGTTGGAAGAACTTGCAGAGTGGGTCCACCAGGTTTACTGCAACCAATTTCAACGCTTTTGGACAAATATTATCAACGCCGGGAGAGGTATGCTCACGCAGGGCAATTAGCTTTTTCATAACATCCGCACTCGTAAACACAATATGGCTAAGTCCTGGTGGTGGTACAACGATCGGGAACAGTGTATGCGGCGATGTCATGCTCTGGAAGTTCGGGGCGTATTGTTGACCTAGGGCGTTGGCCGCCTCGGTTGCGGTTTGTGCGAGTCCACATAACGTGTGTAAGCCAGGAATTCCTCGCTGCACCTTGCGGAGCTTGGTTATGTGTCTGTACAGGAGCTTGGGGTTAGAAACGAATTGCTCAGCTAGATTCTGTTGGTGCTGTATTTTGTCATCGCGTACCAGGTGTACGCGGTGATTCCTTTGGATAGTGTGGGCTTCCCATGTTTCGGCACTCCATGACTCCTTGTATCTTCGCCAGAGTAAATTCCTCGTAACGATACACTTGCGTGTTCTGCTGCGTATGAGTGATTTTATAGTCTTCGCTCGCGTAGGTCTTTTCCTAGAAGCACTATTTACTAATGTGTTGAAATGGTGAGCAAATTCAGACCAGGCGACATCGGGGGATCGTTCTGCTAGAAATGCCCAGTTTGTAGCATTTATAAGTTTGATTAGAGCGCCGTAATCCGTAATGAGCTGACACTCCTCGGTGTTTTCTGAGGAATACTCTACATAACAGATGTACTTGAATTTGAGGGTTGTGTGGTCGCTACGGCCTAAAGGACCCTATATCGATACCGTTCCGATCATCAGCTCTTCATTGGTGAATACTAGATCCAGGACACCCGGTTTGTTTCTCGTCCTGAATCTTGTGGGAGATATGATGTGATGGTAGAATGGCAGTCCACTAATTATCTCCAGTACTTCCATTTTAAAATGTTCGTTGATACAGGCTTGGGTTTTCCATGGTATGAATATTGAAGTCACCAACCAGAAGAATGTGGCTGCACGACTGCGAGAGTATGGTTTTCATGGTGGAGCCTAGGCCGTTGTCCATTTCCAAAGTAGCCGACGGAGGGCGATACACCACACCCAACAAACACGCGTCCCCACAGCTTAGGTGAAGACGACACCAAAGCGTATCGACAATCTGAACCTCTGGGTCATCGATGAGATTAATGTATAGTTCGCTGCGATAATAAAGCAGTACTCCCCCTCCTCT